TCTAATTTCCAGGACTGTCCTGCTTAGTGCTTTTATTAACTTGGCACAAGCTTATTTGAGAAAAGAGAACCACCGCTGAGAAAATGTCTCCATAAGACTGGGCTGACGGCCAACCTGCGGGGCATTTTCTTAATTTAGTGATTGATGGGGAAGGGCCCAGCCCATCCCTAGGCTGATGGTCCTGGTGTATAAGAAAGCAGGCTGATCCATGAGGAGCATGCCAGTGAGCAGCGTCCCTCCACGGCCTCTGCATCAGCTCCGGACGCCAGGTTCCTGCCCTGCTCCCTCAGTGATGGACTGTGCTGTGCACCTGTAGGCTCAGGTAAATCCTGCTCTCCCCACGCTGCTTTTGGTCATGGTGATTTATCACAGAACTAGAAACCCTAGGCCAAAGACAGAACCTCTTTCTCCCTTCCTTCCTTCCTTCCTTCCTTCCTTCCTTCCTTCCTTCCTTCCTTCCTTCCTACTATAAATGCTCAGTCTATAAGCGAGGCTTATTACTGGCTAGCTCTTACAACTTAAATTAACCCATTATTATTAATCTCTGCATTGCCATGTGGATTGTGGCTGAAGCTGTCCTCCAGCATGTCTCCTGCTGACCCCCTGACTTCGCTCTCCCCCTTCCCAGGATTCTTGGTTTACATCCTCCACCTACCCTCATTCTGTCAGCTATGGGCCAGTCAGCTTATTCATTAACCAATCATGGCAACAAATATTTGCAGTGTGAAAAGAGATCATTCCACAGCATCCCCCCCCTTTTTTCTGTCTAATTAAAAAGAAAGGTTTCAACTTTAACACAGTAAGACTACATACAACAAAAACAGTTACCAAGTAAGAATTGCCGTTACAATATCCAGTCCATTTTTTTTTGTCGAAATTAGAGATAATATTCTATTGTCTATCTTTATCTTGGCGAGTTTAAAGTTTTACATCTAATTTGCCATTTTAATCATAATTAATGAAAACTATGATTATAACTATCTAGTCTTCAATTCCATCAGAGCCCCCAGAAGGGTGAAATTTTCCTAATGATAGGGACATCAGGCTAGAGAGTCACCCAGAGTTCCCCAGTAACACTGAGGCATCCACCTTTGGCCTACAGGCCTAGCATCTCTGACAGACTTTCCTGTGAAACACGGAACTTTGAAGGACTGTCCTACCTTGTCTAGGCAAAGTTCAGTCATTGCCTTTCTTGTGTCCTACTGGTCCCGTTCAGACAGTAGTTGTTAGTAATTGAGACAAGGGCAGTTTCTTTGGTAAGTTTTTGTCATAAAGAAAGCGAACTCCATATGGAGTTTCTTTGACGCCCATCATCTTCTCTGAAGTAAATTGGTACTGAAAGGAACAGATGTGTCTCACTGTCATGAAAAGCCTTACATTATTAAAAATATTAAAAACCATATTCTGTAGGTCTTCGAAGTGTTTGAAGAATATCTATCTAAATTTATCTGTGAGTGACCTTGAAAACATATCCAACATGACTATAGGCGTAACTGTTATAGATGACTATTAATTTGTATTTATACATTACATTTTAAATGAGCTGCACAAACACAATGCCCCAAACAGGAGTAGAAATGTAGATACAGTAGGTTCTAACAAAATAACCTCAAATTTGTATCAATATATAAAAATATTTTAAATAAGAATAGAAACATACATACATTAAAAAATATTAAATTTGTATCAATAAACCAAAATCCATACCAATGTGAAATATTAAAGACTAGTAGTTGCTTTTTAAGTTTAAAAGTAGATTCAATAATCTTCCCTTTTATCATACTATTTCTCTCCCATTTTTCTTTTCAGAAAAAGATCCTTGAATTTAATCTTTGTTCAGTTTTTTTTCTGACTATTACCAATAACAACTTGTAGCCAATCCCCTTCTTGTGTAATAATAAATATCCATAGCCCATCTTTTGGAATATGAGCATAGTTCTCTAAACTACTGCCTGTAGTTTGTGGGCACTGTTATCTTTGGGGGAATGTTGTGAAAACTGGGACTCTTTGGCGAGCTTGTATACAACACACAGTCTATACTTGTATTAATACAGATATGTCTGTTACCTTTAAAAGTTTGTCTTTTCAGAGCAAGGGGACCAGACACCAATAAAAATGGATGGCCCAGATGATCCAGCATCCAGAACAGTTTCAAGACTGCTGACTAGGATGAACCAGCCTCTCAGAATACTCCAGCCAAGACCTGGTAGGACCTCTTTCTAATGGAGAAAATAAGACAGTGGATTCCCAGATTCCTTATTTGAAATTCAGTGGAGGAGGCAAATAGGCAGACCTCCCGAGGGGTGGAATAACTTCTCAGAAGCACGAACATGAAGCTTGCAGGGTCCTTTGCAAAGCTACATTGCTACTCCCCCCATGAGATCGATATTTAGTGAGTGGCCCCTTTCTTACTGCAGGTGGTCCAATAGGATTCAGATTGAAATGACTCAATTCCTAGTGCCCTTGACATCAAGAATTAAATCTCTTTTGGATTCACAAACAAATAGAAATGGAGAAAGGATGAACAGAAGAAACAAACACTTGTGGTTTGAGATTTACAAAATAAAGATAATTAGGAAGAGAGTTTCAGTCCTGTGTATATGTATATAAGTATGTGCATTTGTGTTCATGTGTGCATATGTGTGCATGTTCACATGTGTGCATGTGTATGAGTGTGTGCATGTATTAGTGTTCATGCCATGTATATGTGTATGAGTGTGTACATTGTGTTCATATGTGCATGTTCACATATGTGTATGCAAGTGCACACGTGTGTGGATGTGGAGGCAAGGGGTCACCCTTGAGTACAATTCTTCAACAACCATCTTTTTTTTTTTTAACTTACTGGCCTGGCGCTCCCCTTGTATGTTGGTGAATTGGTGACTAGGTTAGCCAGGAAGGCTGCCCAGCAAGCCCGGAGATTCTCTCTCCCTGCCTCCCAGTGGTAGGGGTTGCAAGCGAGGCACGCTAACACGCGTGGCTTTTTAAAAGATGTATTTCTGGGGATTGAACCCAGGTCAGCACATGTGCAAGGTTCACTGACTGACCACATTTAAACAGCAGCTAAAGTCAACGGGCAATGGGTTACAGGTGTCGCCACATGTGTACGTGCGCATTCAGGGACATTATCAAACAGAAGAAGGGCTGCAGACCGAAGATGAGAACATGCATGCATGAGTGTGTGTGCATGAGCGTGTGTATGGTTATGTGTGTGCACAAGTATGTGTGGCTACAATAAACACCCACATGGAACCTAAGAGGAATGAGGGGTAAGGCCCACAGGTGGGGCTTAAGGTCTAGATTGAGTGGCTAGAAAAACACCAGAGGGGAGTTCGGCCAATGGAATGTGTCGAGCACAAGAAGTTATCTCTGTATTTGGAAACACTTTTCTCTGAGAGAGGAATGACTGTGCTTCCTAATTGGTCCTTGTCTAAGTTAGGGTTCTACTCTCCTCAGAAACCAAGAGATGAGACACTATCTTCTCTGATTCTTTGATGTGATTACGTCAAAGAGACAGCACCCAGATCCTGGAGGAAGACAGTCCTGTTGAAATTGGAGCGGTGGCGGGGGCTGTGTCCCCAACACCCCAGCCGCCTGCTAGCTTATGCCCAAAATAACAACACACAAACTGTATTCATTTAAAGACTGCTTGGCCCATTTCTATCTAGCCTCTTCTAGGCTAATTCTCACATATTAATTTAGCCCATTTCTAATAATGTGTGTAAGCGCCCCAAAGTGCGCTTACCAGGAAGATTCTAGCCTCCGTCCATCCTGGGTCGGAGCTGCCTGCGAGAACGGAGCCTGGCGTCCCTGCTCCAGAGAGCAGAGCTGTCGGGTCTCTCCGGGAGCAGAGCAGAGTCTGACCTCACTTCCTCTTCCTCCCAGCATCCTATTCTGTTTACTCCTCCCACCTATGTTTTAACCTATCAGGGCCAAAGAGTTTCTTTATTGCTTAACCAATGAAATCAACAGATTGATATATGACACTCCCACATCACAGTCCGAGGCTGTAAAACCATCACAAAGATATTTTCAAAGCTTTCATCTCACAGGAGGAAGAGAAAGGATGTACAGTTCCTACAGTTCCAGGTCTTCTGAATAAACGCTCTAAAAAAAGAGACACGAGAGGTCCAGGGTCAAGAAGCTATCTGAGGTGTAGCCAGACTGAGGAAGAAAAGGTTCCTCCATCTTAAGGCCTGGTCAGGGCTGAAGCACATTGCAGGCCAGTTTCCAGAAAGTTCTACACATTTCAACCTTAGCCGAGGCCTCGCTCCTTCCCTCTCCCGCCTAGAACACTGGGAAACCGCGCTCAGGCGACAGCGCATCTATGTGAGAATCCTATCCATCGGCTGCCCCATAGCTCCCGCCTCCAGGTGCTCCTAAGCTGACCTGCGCCGTAGGCTTCTGTCAGATGCACTGGTCAATTTATCTGGCCACCTAGAACTGTGGGAAGTGGGCAGGCACAAAACCTGCACAAGAGAGCCGCTGCGTGGGGCGTGAGTCTCATCTTATACAAAACAAGCCAATAAATGGTAACTACAGTGAGCTGTGGCTAGACATTCATTTCAGCTAGCTCTCACCAGGTTGTGTTACAAAGAACACAGTAAGACATCAGGATCTAAACGTGCACAGAGACATGGAAGGAAATCAGTTAAAGTATAGCTTGAATCCATGGAAACTATGGGTAGCAGGAGAAACTACAGAAAAGGCGGTAAATGCTGCGGGCCATGCCCAGTGTCTGCAGCTTTACCTGGCTTCCTGCCCAACTTCCCTAATCCCAATTCCTTCATCTTAAAGCATTTTCCATATAGACCTGAGCACAACGCAGCTTTAAACATTTGCAGCCACTGTCGTGGGACTTGTAGTATTTCACCCCTAGCCAAGCCCACGGGGACCCGACTTATCCGGAATCCTACGGTCCCCACCCCGCTGCTCTTAGCTCTGTGGAGGCTTTGGCTCTTCCTGAGCTCAGAAGTGGTCTGTGTCATCATCCCATGCGCTCTGCCTGTTTGTTGATGTGACGCGCCTGTGGACAGGAGCCAGGCGCCTATAGTAGCAACCCGGGAGAAAATGTAAGCAGCTGTGGTCGTGTAATTTAAAACCTCAGCAGAGCGTGCTGGGCTCTGTGCACGGCATTAGTGCAGCGTGCAGCACGAGGGCTGGATGCAGCTGGCTCTCGGGAGGACGTCCTCGCCCGCGGCCAGGCAGAGAAGCCTGAGACTGGGAGGCAAACCTGGGTGCAGCCGGAAAGGTCCAGATAGATGAGCTTGTGGCAGCCGTTCCCCAAGTTCAGGTACTGTAAGCCTTTGTCCGTGAACTTTCGGCAATACGCCAGGCTGAGATTCTGTAAGTTGTGGAAGTACCTGGAGTGTGGGGCAGAGAAGGGAGGAAGGAAAAGCGAAGACTTCAGCTTTTCTCCCATCTTTCCCGAGCCACTGTGACAAAGAACTAAAGCTGTGGCTCCTCCTGCCCCCTCTTTGCAAACGGTCAGCACAGTAACAATCGCTGCCTCTGCCTATGAAGTGAAGAATTTAGGACCAGAGCAGACCGTGCAAAGTTGCATTTCAAAGGAAAAGAAAGAATATCTGGGTAGGTTTTTAAGGAACTTTTAATGGAATAAGACTTTGTCTGGGGGTAGGAGGAGCCTTGCATGCACATTGTTTGAAAGTTAGATTGTTGCTGAAATCCAAGTTAGAGTTTACCTTCTTGTTTTTCACTATTACTTTTGCCAAACTAATTTGCAAAAAGTTGAGAAAGATAAACTTCTTATAAATATATAATGGAAATTAACTGTTCCAGCGTGCTGAGGATTTGGGATGGAAAGAAGGCTCCTAAAATGAGTCTGATAAGAAAATGATTAAAAAACCAGAGATTTCGACATGCACAATTTTGTAATGGTTTCCTTATGATAATTAAAGATAATCAAGGCTGATACACATCCAGGGCTTAAGCGTGGGTTGAGAACATGAGCAACTAAGTGGGCAGCACTTGAGAAGAATAAAAATTACACAGGAGGCTGCCAGTCTCACTCGAGTTGAAACAAAGGAAATATGTCATTGCCACCATGACCAAAATGAGAGCTTCCAGAAGAAAAGGGGAGAGTTAGGACGGGTCTGTGCTGCCATGTACAGACCAGGGTTTTGAGGGCATGTTGTGGTCGAGCCTCCAAGCCCTCCAAAGCATGGCATTCTTCAACAACACAAGGACTCTCGTTGCCTGCTCTTATAATTACCAACTCTCAGTTTGGAATCTGCAATTGCTTGGCGGCAATGAGGATGCTGGGAGTGGGGAGAAAATGCCCCTGCCTCCTATAAAGCCTGCAGATCACGTCTGTCTTCACATAAACAGGAGATGAGATGGGCAAGCACTGCCTCTAAGTTAGATTTAGTCCAAAACTTGAAAACCAAGCCCATATGATTTAATGCTTCTATTCCGTGGTGGATTACTGATTGAGAACATACGTTCCCCTCTGGGAACGGCTGTGTGCATGAGATTCCACAGAAGAGCCAAGGAAGCCTTTGGACCACAGTGGCAGTGGGCTGGACCTGGAAAGAGAGACTCTCTAACATCCAAAGACACGCCCCCTCCCCGTCCCTTTCTCTCCTTGAGCAGAGCTGGAGATTTCAGTCCTAAGGGTTCTCTAAAGTGGAGACAGGAGCTGTGAGACAGGCCGCACAGCACCATGGAAAACAGACGAGAATTTGTAGCCTTGATGCTCACTGCAGCTTCCCTATCCTGTGGCAGGAAAGGAAAAGGAGAGCATCTGTTATTTAGGAGTGCTCTTTGGAACCTATTAGAAAACTATGGGGCTTATAGCTTTCCTGACCCTCAGTTTTCCTATCTGTCATGTGGACTTGATCCCATCTGCTGTTGCCGTTGAGAAGTGTGAAAAGCAAGTGAGTGTTCAGATCAGACAGTATCATCAAGGGGGTTATTTCTGACCACTGGGGAAAAAAAGGAGCACAACAGACTTTGAGAATTTGTGCCTTGTTACTGCTACTACTACTTCCAAAATAACAATATACTGCTCTTTTAATTTACTGCATGTATGTGTTTATTCATGCATGTCTGCGTGTGTTTGTGCAAGCACACATGCCTCTGTGTGTATGTATTTGTGTGTGTGCATGCCTATGTGTATGTCAGTATCTGTGTGTGTGCATGCCTGTGTGTATGTCAGTATCTGTGTGTGTGCATGCCTGTGTGTATATCAGTATTTGTGTGTGTGCACAGCCTGTGTGTATATGTCAGTATTTGTGTGTGTGCATGCCTGTGTGTATATGTCAGTATTTGTGTGTGTGTGTGTATGCCTGTGTGTATGTCAGTATCTGTGTGTGTGCATGCCTGTGTGTATATCAGTATTTGTGTGTGTGCATGCCTGTGTGTATATGTCAGTATTTGCCTGTGTGTGTGCATGCCTGTGTGATGTGGGAAGGTCATATGTCTATCTGTTGCTTTCATTGGTTAATTAATAAAGAAACTACTTGGCCTGATAGGTCAGAACATAGGTGGGTGGAGTAGACAAAATAGAATGCTGGAAAGAAGGGAAGTGAGGTCAGATGCAATGGAGCCAGCCACCAGGTCAGACGTGCTGAATCTTTCCCGGTAAGCCACCACCTCGTGGTGCTACGCACATTAGTAGAAATGGGTTAATCAAGACGTGAGAATTAGCTAGTAAGAGGCTAGATAGAGCTAATGGGCCAGGTAGTGTTTAAATGAATACAGTTTGCGTGTTGTTATTTCCGGGGCTAAGCTAGCCATACGAGAGCCAGGCAGGACGAAAAGCAAGCCTGCCCACAGCTCCTTCTACAAATGGTGCCCAACGTGGAGCTCAAACCCATGATCCTGAGATTAAGAGTCTCATACTCTACCGACTGTGTGTGTATGTCAGTATTTGTGTGTGTGCATGCCTGTGTGTGTATGTCAGTATTTGTGTGTAGGGGGGGGTGCATGTATGTCTGTGTGTGTGTGTACTCACTTACACACATGCCAGCACCAACACATACCAAAGGACAATCTCCACTATTATTCCTAAGATGATGTCCACCTTGTATTTTGAGACAGGATCTCTTATTGCCAAGCACACTAGCCAACTGGGCAGCACTCCCAGGGACTCTGTGTCTCTCTCTCTCTCTCACTCCCTAGTGCTGGGATCACAAACTCAAGGACCACCGGCTTTTTTCTCTTGACATAGTTTCTAGCAGGTCAAACTCAGGTCTCAGGCTTGCAGAGCAAGCTTTTATCAACTAAGCCAGCATCCCAGGCCAACACTTTCACGTTTCTATGGAGACCGTCCATCACTTTTTCATTTAAGAGTGGATGCTCTATAGCGAGTCTCTCTCGGTTTCCAAACCACGACACAGAGACTTATTAGTAACCATGAAGGATTGGCAGAAAGCTTAGGCTTGTTTTTAGCTTTTTATTAAACCAATCTGAGTGATACATCTTCATACCAAGATTATTCCACAACAGTGCTCATCTGACAAGAGTTTGGAGAATGTCATGAGGCCTGTATCTTACCTGAACAAATATATATATATGACTTTAAGAAAATATGCTTTAAATTCTTTCATATAATATATGTATATCCATATATATATTACCTATCATTCTACCTCTTTAAACCTATATGATCAGTTAGTAAATATCAAAAATGAGAATTAATTAAGAGACTTACTTGACTATTTTTACAGTTTTGGTAATCTATAAGGTCTATAGAGCCTTTTAGCATTAAAGAATTTACTGTGTGTGTGTGTGTGTGTGTGTGTGTGTGTGTATGTTTCTCAGCACTCAAGTGGAGGTCAGAGGACATCTTTGGGGAGCTGGTTCTTTCTCCACGTTGATCCCCGGCATTGAACTCAGGTGGTAGGGAGGGCAGTGTCTTCATCCCTGAGCCATCTCTTGTGTTCCCCTGGATTTCAGTTAAAGCAGAGAGGATTCTCACACCATCAAAACCAGAAACAAGGGCTGGAGAGATGGTTCAGTGGTTAAGAACACTCGCTGTTCCTCCAGCAAACTGGAGGTCAGTTCCCAGCATCGTGTCAGGTGGCTCACAAGTGTCTGTAACTCAGTTCAGTACATCAGTCGCCGCTAGGCTCTGCACGCACATGCTGTGTGTGCATGCACACACAGATTAGACATACACAACCTCATAGACACCTGATGGCTTTCCCTTGGGGCAGGAGTCGCTGGCTGAAAGTTAAGAGCCTCTGCTGAGGACAAGGAAGTTGTTGGACTAAATGGCTCCATGGCTCCCAGGCTGAAGGTCTCTAGCCAGCTTCCCTTCAAAGTGGCAACTGAGGGACAGAAGTGCAAAGGGCATCCTAGCGGCCCTGTGCCCCTCTAGGGATCTCAGAGCTGCAGACAGACAGCTGTGAGAGTGTGGAGACGTGCTGGCTACAGGGAAAGCGTGGCAGATTGCTTCATCACTGATCTTCATTTGGAGCTGCGTAAAGAAATGTTTCTCTTTCAGACAAAGGCCAGGCTCACAGCCTCTCAGCACAGGGCCCTGATAATTCCATTTCTGATTTGAGAAAGACCATGTATGGTGTGTTTTCTCTTTTCCTAATTATTTGATAACTTATTTTATTGCGGGTATGGGTTTCCTTTTTATTTTCTGCTACTAGTGTAATCTTTATGAAAATACAGAAATTGTTTTTTGTTCTTTCTTTTTACTTCATTTCCACTGAAGAACTGAAGGATTTTATGTTTCATTTTCATCACCAGAGGGAGTCTGTTAGAAAGAGTAAAATGCCATATATTCAAATGGAAATTTCTATCTATGTATTTCTATCAAAACCACCAAGACAAGGCCTAGTCTAGGAAGAAGCGAATTTGCAGGTAGATTCTTTGACTTCAAGGAGCAGAATTCTCTAGAAAATCTAAATGGAAAATGTGGCCTCATAATGAGAGTGAGCGTGAGGTGTCCAGGGAGCACGGCAGCTTGCCGAGGCCATGCCTCGTTGAGGGACATTGGCAAGACGGCATAACAGATAACCCTGGGATATAAGGAAAATGAAAGTCAAAGGGGGGCAATTAATCTAAATGAAATGAACACACACCATTCACGGCAGCACAGAAGGACCCACTAATAGACAAAGCCCACGCCATACACAGTAATGTGGCCCTGCAGTGCCTGCTGTCTGGGAGGCTGAGGTCAGCCTGAGCAACCATAACAACACACACACCTTCTAAAAAGCAAAAACCTAACAGTTTTGTTCCAGTTGTGCATTGTAGCTATCACCACAGGGTAAATAAGTGTGTGGCCACTGGGGAGCAGGGAAAGGAGAACCCACTGGTCTTCTGGGATGCCACCCCTTAAAGAGGCCAAGAATTAGGCAGGAAAGGAAGGGCTTCCCCACTGCAAGGAAGACAAGCAGAAGAAGGAGAAGGCCGGGGCTCAGGGCTTCGCTTGGACAATCCATACAGGTGTGGTCAACTAGATGACGTCAGGGACAGTAGATGATGACGTCAGGGATGGAAGATGATGTCAGGGATGGAATATGATGTCAGGGACGGCAGATGACATCAGGGACAGTAGATGATGACAGGGGCGGTAGATGATGACATCAGGGACAGTAGATGGTGACGTCAGGGACAGTAGATGGTGACGTCAGGGACAGTAGATGGTGACATCAGGGACAGTAGATGATGATGTCATGGTCAGTAGATGATGACGTCAGGGGCGGTAGATGATGACGTCAGGGACAGTAGATGTGACGTCAGGGACAGTAGATGATGACGTCAGGGACAGTAGATGATGATGTCATGGTCAGTAGATGATGATGTCAGGAACAGTAGATGGTGACGTCAGGGACAGTAGATGACATCAGGGACGGTAGATGATGACGTCAGGGACAGTAGATGACATCAGGGACAGTAGATGGCGACGTCAGAAACAGCAGGGAAAAGTCTAGACCAGACAGGACTGTTGTAGGACGACTCTTCCTGCAGCCTGAGTCTGAGCAGATTGGAGAAAGGGAGACCAGAGGCAGACCAGGCAAGATGTAGGGCCAAGAGGAATGGCAGAGGACGGCAGAGACCATGGTAACAAGAAAGAGTGTGAGGCCAAGCTGTTCCTGGAGTAAGGGCTGGGTCTGCGGGTCAGATCAACAGGTAAAGGTATTTTCTGTGGGCAAAGACTGAGGACCCGAGTTCTAGCCTGACGAGTCACTTGGTGGAAACTGAGTCCCTCGAGCTGCCCCAACCCTCCCCACACATGTGGCGGCACCCCCCCCCATGAAACCCACAAATAATAGTGAGAAGGAGCTGTGGGCAGCCCTAGGTTTAACTCTAGAAAACTAACTTCCAAAGAAGGGAGGAAAAATACTCAAATAAATCTGGCAAATCAATGCTGCCATTAAGGGCAACCATCATTTTGTTCTTTTCTCTGGCAACTGATTTCTTTGGAACGAAATGAAGAGGAGTGACCGGCAGCAACAGCCAGCACTTCTCTGGTTATTTGCAGTTTAAAGAAGAGTTTTGCATACCCAAGCATATTCTGAACAATGGAAAACACAACAAAAATAGACAATCATTATGAAATGTATTTTTATAATAGATAAGTTACTGCATGTTTTTTCATAAGACAAAAATCATAAGCATCAAGTAAACTTCAGTCTGAATATTCACTGAATGGAAAGAACTCAACTTTTCTATCTTTCCCACTAAATTATACACTCATTTGTAAACTAAATATTCCCAAACAGCTTTCAACTCATAGCCAGGCCAATCTACTAACTGGCCCAGTAGGGAAGGAGCAGCTGAACATATTGCCAGCAAGAATGTTTAAAATTGAAAAGTAGAGGACAGAGTCAGCTATGGGGCTCACATTTGTAATTCCTGCATATGGAAGGCTGAGACAGGAGGATGACCACAGGTTCAAGCCAGTCTGAGCTACACAGTGAGTTCTGAGCCTCCATAGGCTTTCCAGTAAGATGTGTGTAAAGGGGAGGAGAGAGAGAAAGGGAACTAAAACAGCTAGCAGCCCGACAGTGGCTCACACCCTCATCCCAGCACTAGGGAGGCAGATGGAGGCAGATCTGAGCTCAAGGCTAGTCTAGCCTACAGTGCGGGCTGCAGGACAGCCAGGCTACACAAAGAAGCCTTGTCTTGAAAAGCCAAAAATAAAATAGAAGCTAGCTACATGCTACACATAAAACACAACTGAAACCCAGCAGCACAAAGGCTTAAGAGACAGGGGCTCCTAAAGTTATTCCACAGGAAGCAGAAATACAGGAAAGCAAAGGGAAGGACGCTAGCAGCGGATTTTAAAAGATTCAGCTCAGTAGGTATATAGGGCCTGTAATCACAACACTCAGAAGGCTGAGGCAGGAGGATTGCAAGTTTGAGGACAGCCTAGGCCAAGCAGGGAAGGCTTGTGTCGAAAAATAACACAAATCACGAAGAAACATTAACCAGGAAGAAGAATATTATTTTATGTGGAAAAAAATGCTATAATCCATGATAAAGCATGATACTTATCTTAATACATAAAATAAACTATAAGCTTGATTAATCAGTGACTAACATATCACTATTATATTATGACATGTCAAGCTCACCTATGCATACACATACATTTACACACAGAAGTCTGTTCTCTTCAACAAATGCTCTTCCCTTTAGACACTCATGGCTATGCTGAAACTAATTACAGACTAGTCCTTTAGACACTCATGGCTATGCTGAAACTAATTACAGACTAGTCCTTTAGACACTCATGGCTATGCTGAAACTAATTACAGACTAGTCCTTTAGACACTCATGGCTATGCTGAAACTAATTACAGACTAGTCCTTTAGACACTCATGGCTATGCTGAAACTAATTACAGACTAGTCCTTGAAGAAATCTGAATTCCAAAAAGCAGAAATAATCCAACCCATATTTCTTCTACAATTAAAGACACAAGTTTAAAATGGAGGCATCAAGCACTTTAAACAAAGAATTCTTCTCCAAGTATTGGGTCAAAAATAAAATAAAATAAAAAGACTACTTGTTTGAAAGAGGAAATAATATTTAACAAGTCTGGTACACTATTCCACAAATTCTTATTTAGAAATAATTATCTATCTCTGTTTTTGTCATTTCTAAAAGAAAACTTTTAAAAAGATACTTATATCTCATGTTCCAACCTGAAAAGGACCATTTAGTACATAAAGTGTATGGAAATCAGAGTCCAAAAGGCCACTACTAATGATGACAACTAAAAACATATCTATCAGAACGTTTTTCTGACCAAACAAGATTTTACTAAGAGATTTATGAACTTTGAAAATGTAAAAACACTCTGTTCCTAAGACGATGGTTACATATAAATCATTCTTTTATCTTTAATTATGAATATAGTGATAAATACCTAACTATTTCTCCAAAACCACATGTAAATGTGTACTGTAAAAAACTTTTTATCTTAGTACTTTATAGCTACAAAGGTTAGGTGCCATATGGTTTATAAACACTAATAAACCATACAATATTAGCCATAGTCAATTCCATGTAGCCAGCTGGTTCTTACACAATACTTACATTGACTTTTGCTAAATTTTTAGAGGTGGCCCACCACCTGAGCACTGCCGCTGAGACATGAGTACAGCTCCACGAGTTACATTATATTCATTTTCCCCAGCATTACATCACAGAAGGGTTAGGTGAGCTGAGAATGCATGACCAGAATGCACACGCCTGTCAACAGCACCAGTGGTTTTGTTGCTGAATCAGGTCATTTTAAGGGATTGAAAGAAAAAAAATGCCTCAATTTCTGTGCTAGTTAAAACATGCTGACTGCAGGCAAGACAAACTTTTAAGTTTGATCTGCTTTATAAATTGCCTTTTCCATCAGTGTGAGTCTAAACAATTGCCAAAACAATAATTCCAGTCTGAGTTGGAAAATGGCAAACACGTCAGCCCCTTCTAAGCTCCTGGGGATGAGTCGCGGAGCAGCAGCTAGGCGGGGTGCAGTGGCTATGAAAACCCCAGAGATATGGGCAAAGTTGTGCATAGACATACTAAGAACGAGTGTGTTTTAAGTACTTATTGCCTGTTGGATGATAAGCTATTACCGACGGAGAATGTCAACCGTGGCTGGTGGGCCACACAGAAACAAGATCTAGACCACACAGGTCACACTTTTTTGACCTCCAGTTTGACTGATTGCTTCTTTCATCACTAAAATCAATTCTAAATTGATTATATGCCTAGGTTTTAAAAACACAGGAATAAGAAGTGAAAGACGGCTAAGTGCCTGGTGGGTGATGAGCCCCTGTATGTTAGTGTCTGGAGGAGTTCCGAAAGGAAGGGTTTGCTAACTGACTGAAACGGAAGTGCGGTGCCAATGCCTGAGGCTTGCCCACTCATGGAAGACAGAGCAAGAAGAAAGGAAATTGTCACCAAGAATCTTTTTCTGTTTAAGTTTTCCAAATGTCTTGTTGTCCGTTTTCAAAGGATTTCAAAAAGATATAGTTTCAAGAAAGCATTTAGTCTTTCACAACGGTTTGCGGGGTGTCCTCCCAACGACACATCTGAACATCTCCCTAGGACCAGATACAGTACCTGGTTAGTCTTCCCACAGGAAGCACAGAGAACAAGCGGATAAGAAAACTGTGCGCAAACTGAAGACCCTGCCGGAGATGCGCTTCCAGTGCCTCGCCAGAGACGCCTGGCTAAGTAGAGCAGCCGCCACCCTCCAGTCAAAGCTCAGCAGAGCAAGCTCGCTGGAGGGGACGCGGAGTGCCTGGAACAGGGACAACAGTCTGGAGAGCAGGCACATTGGAGTTCTGTTACAGAGAGATCTCAGACACTAGAAAGGAAGTTGGGGGTCAGGCTCCAGAGCCCAGGAAGGGAAGGAGAAAGTCAGGAAGGTCTGTCTCAAGCCACTGGGTATGCTGCTACAAAAGTGGCAAAGTCACAGGCTGAGACAGAAGGCCAGTGGTCAGCCATGCCTGCTCAGGAAGGACAGCACGTACACAGGCTCGGGGACCGGAAAGCAGCTGCTCCCTCATCATACCGCCGTGGCTGGGTGCTGATTATGGGGGACTATCTCGGAAGCCAACCAAAACAAGCCAAAGTCTAGTACTCAGTATTTCAGTGGGACACGAATAATACACCCGGTGCCAGTCAGAGGACGAGGAGCCTGAAGTCACACGTGAGACCACATTTCGGTCTAACAGCCACAGCATTACCTGGGCAGGAGTCGCATCGTCCTGTTGGTGATCGCTGTGTTGGACAGATTCAGATACAGGACGCCAGGGCAGCCCTCGGAAATGTGTCTCATTGATTCATCCTGCATGACAAAAGAAGAAAGAAAACTGTATCAAACCCTCGGAGGCTTCTCATCTCTCTTCCCGTCCCAGAAAAACATTCATATGTAACTTGGTCCTTCATTTTCTTTGCTACTACTTCAAATAAAAAGCAGAAACTAGTCATTCTGTTTGAAGCTTCACTGCTCACTGCTCTCATTTTCTCTAGAAATAAAACTTCATTACATCACATGGCATTTTTTATTAAAAGGTGAACGCTTGCAAATGCCGGTACGTGATACAAATATCGCAGGGTGACTTTCAGCTGCCCAGATATAAAAGTGTGATCACAAACTGACGTGTTTTAAAGTTATTCTGAAAGACAGGAAGTGAACTCTCTAACAACTGGATTTCATTAAATGAAGGCCACTTTGAGCCAAGGCATGTCATCTGTCCGTGTGACTAAATCACACGGTTCTGAGAATGACACATTTTAAACCTAAATAACTCTGAGATGGACTCAGTATCTATATTTGAAAAGCAAAATGTGGTGTTTTGAAAGAAAATGACCCCCCCATAGGGAGGAGCACTATTAGGAGGTGTGGCTTTATTGGAGTAGGTGTGGCCTTGTTGGAGGAAGTGTGTCACTGTGAGGACAGGCTTTGAAATCTCCTATGCTTAAGCTACACCCATTAGCACAGTTCACTTCCTGTTGGCTGAGGATCAAGAGGTAGAACTCTCAGCTCCTTCTCCAGCACCAGGTCTGCCTGCTGTGGCCATGCCCCACCGTGATGACAACGGACTGAACCTCTGAAACTCTAAGCCAACCCAATAAATGTTTCCTTTTATAAGAGTTGCTGTGGTCATGGTGTCTCTTCACAGCAAAAGACACCCTGACTGAGCTATAAACTACAGACAATACACAAGGGGTTTTGAGGGCTCAAGATCCGGTGTTGGGATGGGAGTTGGAGAGAGAAGTTGAAGTGAGTGAGGCGTATGGCTAACATGAGACCGAGAGGCAATGGTGTCAAACAATGGTCTTGAACTGAAGCTGAAAAAGGCCAGGTGAGTGTCAAGCGTTGATGGCAATGAGCTACCCTGCATATAAAAAAATATAGAAAATACAGTAACATAATGGTGCATGCCTATGACCCCAGCACTGGGAAGACAGAGGCAGGAATCATTTAACCTCAAGTTCAATGATAACCTGGGCTACATAATGAGTTTCGGCCCAGCTTGAGCTACAGACTGACTCTGTAAAATCAAAAGACAAGAGAGAAGACGGGAACAGAAAGAGAGTTAACAATAGGGTTTTATCTATTCAGTGAATCTCCCTAGAACACCAGCAGGTATCAGCTAGGTTTAAATACCCATGCATGGAGCACATACAGGACACCCCGTCCAGAAAGGGATAGCCAGCCCTCTACTGTCTCGAGGAGGTGCATTATCACCAGCTTCCAAATGTGGTTCGGAGAATCCGGATGGGCAGGACAGCTGAGACACCACTCAGACATCAGGGTCAGTTTAGCATTCTGTTCTTCACTGTTTCCAGGATGTATGTATATTTATCATGACAAGACTCCCTGGGAAGCCAATCCTATCTTAAACAGGACCCAGGGGGTCTTCACAGGGAATCCTCTGGTCAGCACTTCATGTGGGCAAGCGGGGCCTTTGGAAAGCACCACGGTCTCAGCACTGCGCTCAAGCGATCAGGAATCTTTCCGGTCATTTGAGCACCAAGTGTAGGGTCCTGAGGGGTGTAGACAAATGCAGCAGGTACAGTACAAGCTTCCCTCGGAAAGCAAAGACGGCCATCCCCACATACAGCGCCATACTTTAGCAGGTGCACAGCTTGTCTCTGAAAATGTTCGGTGTGCCGGTCACTGTGCTGGGGATAGAAGGGAGGTGGCAAGGCCAGTGACAGAGCTGGCTCAGCCACTCTAGGAAGGCCACAGGAGATTGGGGCCAAGAGGAGGATAGTGGGTGCTTTGTGTGCAGTGGGCCAACAGCCCCTTCTCTGCCTTCACCCCAACAAGTTCAGACCACTTTCAGCCTCAGTCCTTAAGAGAAGGCAAGGCTCAACACTGAAATGTTTGAACAAAAAATGCAACACCATTTGAGCATGCTCAATGGCTCATGAATTTGCCTATGACACATAAGACTCGAATTCTTCAGTGTGGTATATTTTACAAGACAAGACTGCATATAGCCAAGCTCTTTGAATGAGTGTTACCCCATCTTTAAATGTAAGCCTGTCTCCCAGCCTGTTTCTCGAAGGGGGAAACAACAGTAAAATGGGGCTGGATAAAATTACTAGCCCTTTATAGATCCCAAACTTGGACAAGACTTTGATGTTCACAGACTCCACGCAGATGGCCAAATTCAAGGAATGCAAGTTTGTATTCACAGGCAGAACTAATACTCCCCAAGGCAAGAACTGAAAATTAACTCACATTAAAATTCCTTCTAACACCTAATGGGATAGCTTTAAAAATCCATAGAAAGAATGAATCCATTTCACAACAACAACTTTTTAATGCTCGTCATATGTCTGAAGAACATACTAGCAGAGACTTGCATCTCTCCTGATGAAGGAGCCCTTTGCACTTGGCTGGGAGAGAAGAGCCCAATCAGAGAGACTTTTGTTCTCTCCTGGGTTCTATGGCCCGTCTATCTGTTCCTTGCTTTCTTGGGGATGCTCCTGAACATAAATTAGCAGTTTGTTGTGTTGAGGCATGAGCCTCCGAGAAGAGGGTTGACTGACCAAGCCGAGAGCGGTGGCCTGGTGGGTGGGAACCAGACATCTAAGCCACAGGCTCTCGCTGTGTGTGAGGAGAAAGGAGTTGAAGTGTTCCAAGGCTCTCAGCGCTTTCATGTTTATACTTTATTTACTCACAAAATATCTTCCACCTTTGGGGGTTTTCAAAGTGTTCCTTGTTCTAAAAAGGAGCTACAACGTAAACATGAATATAAGAGTAGAAAGTATAAACGCTGAGGGACTCAGGCCACAGTGCTAATCTGGGAGAGACGGAAATTCATCCTGTCAGAAAGAAGTAGAATTGCAAGGTGCTAAGGAGTCGGGCCAAAACAGGAGGTGATTTCATGGGTGTGACTTCTCTGAAGGATAAGAAAATGTTCTAAAATATCGGGGCTACGGTTCCATAACTTTATGCGTCTACCATGGATTATTAAAATGTTCACTTTGAGTAAATGGTAACATCAATTTGTTTTTATTTCTACAACACCATTTTTTAAAAGTTACTTTTTCTAAAGTGTATGGAAAACCCAGTGTAGATGAAGTGTGCTTCAGAGGAGGAACAAAAGTAGCCAGGCTGCAGCTGTGGGGAGTGGGAAGGGAAAAGCCCTCATTCAGTCAGACAGAAAAATCCGTCCAAGGGTCCATGAAATGCCATTGTAAGGACTTCAAGTGACCTAATGTCAAAACATGGCATTTGAGGAGGAGTAACCATGACAACAAGGCATGTTGCTGTGTGCAGTGTTGGAGGGACGCTGAGGGGCCAATTTAAGGCATCTTGCCTCCTTTGCCAAGGGCCTTGGCCTCTGGCTGGTACTGGTGTGAGCTGAGGGTCACTGCACAGTCAGACTGTCCTTCTGCCCTCTGTGTCCCCAGGACCTTGTTCCCTTGCTTGGGTAGACTGTCTCCATCGGCTCCTACATACCTGTTTGCCTTGCCTTGCCCCTCTTTCTAGAAACCATAGTCTATAACTCATGTTGACTTTCTTGTGTCTGGTCCATTTCACAGCTCCCTACAATTGTATCTGCGCCCCGACATCCCACTGGGATGGCTTCAGCAGAAATCAGTGGTCCTAATTCTCAAGTCTGGACCGCCATGCTCAGTGCATTTATTACCTGCCTAGCTGGGCCACTCCTTCCCAGATGTCTTCTAGCCCATGTACATTAACATTTGAGCCCATTCCCTCTCTGCCTTCTTTAAACTTTCATTCTGCTCCTTGGGGTCGGTGAGACACAACCCTATGCCCTCCCTGTTCATCCTCTCTCACTAGATTGACCTTGGTTCCTATAGTGTCAATTACGGCACATAGACCTAGCAGCACAGGACGGATGTCAGGTTCCATGTGCGTGGCCCACAATGCATTACCCTATAATGGCATTAGATATTAAATGTTGGTGAAACCTTGTGTTTTCAAGCTAAGTCTTGCCCCCAGGTACTTCTCATCACCAGCCTTTACCCCCAGTCCGCTGTTGGTTTTGAAACAGGCCCTCAGCAAGCTACCCAGACTCACCCTGAAGCACTCACACAGTTCAGGCAGCCTTTGAACTTGCAAACATTCCATCTGGCCTCCTGAGTAGCCAAGATTACACCCTTGTCCCACTAGACCAGTAGGCCCATCAAGGCTTAGAGGAAATGACAGAGATACTGAGTCTTACTGAACCACAAACCCCGCTGGAGGGTGAGGGCAAGGGCAAGGCAGGAAACAAAACCAGGTGGGGTGGCACACACCTTCAACCCCAGCACCTAAGAGGCAAAGGCTGGTGGACTCTCTGAGCTTGAGGACAGCCTGGCCTACATGGTGAGACCCTGTCTCAGAAAAGCAACAAGAGACAATAGTGCATGAGCAAAACCACTGGAACTCGCTGTGCACACAGCAGAGGAACAGGGTGAGCCTGCAAAGGGAGGCTGCAAAGGGAGGCTGCAAAGGGAGGCTGCAAAGGGGGGCTGTAGCTGCAGAGTCTCCAAGGGGCACTAATGCTAACATGGTTTGATTTTTTTCTCCAGGGGTGTATGGACGATGGAAGATGTAGTGGGTTGGTCAGACCTGCCTGTAGAAAGGGTATTGTGTGCTCACAGTACGGAAAACAGATTTGGGGTAGAGAGAAAGACAAGGGGTCAGGGCCAGGAAGGAAGAATCTGGGGTTATGTGCTCATTTCTGTCTTCTTTGGTATAGTTACTAATAGCCATAAAGCCACCAGAATCAGCCTATAAACTTTGTCTCATATGCATGTGCATGAAATATAAACACAGCTCATGTTTATGTAACCACGAAAGAGTCTCCATTCGCCGGAGGCCCCGACGTTGAGCACATATCCACAAGATTAATGGCAGCATTGTGCGGAGGGGGGAAATGCTTTTGCCAATGTTTAATATAGTTTTTTCCACACTCAGCCCCAAATGCACACAAAGTATGTGCTCTGCCCACTGGCTCTCCCGTGTGAGAAGTGCAGACCTACATAAACAACAGTAGAAAACTGTCTTACTCACTGTGAGGGACTGGCAGTCTGAGAGGTTCAGCTCTTGCAGGTTTTTACAGTGGCCTAAATCAAACAAGCAGACATCACTAAGCAACACACTGCAAGCATGTGGTCTTTTACCCTACATTCAACGCAGCACTTTCCTTAGAAGGTAAATAGAAACCTGGGCAAGAAATGTGGGCTCAGGTGTGGGCTTCTCTGCTTGGGCCAACGGCTTCTTTAAAAACTCATATATACGCGTGCTTATTATATCTGCTGATTTGTGGGGTATAGGAAGAAGATAGAAAGAAAAAACCCACTATTTTGATTTTAAAAAATACTATATACTTGGGGCTTTTAGCTTGAAAGTACTTGAGGGAAATAAATTTGATTGTTTTGTTAGTTTGGGTTTTAATTTTGTGACTTCTTGGTACATGGTTTTTAATTTTTGTGAATGTATGCTTTGTGTGGTACACAGATGTGTGTATCCATGCATGTATTTGTGTGCTTCTGTGTGGTATACAGATGTGTGTATACATGCATGTGAATGTGTGCTTTGTGTGGTACATGGATGTGTGTATCCATGCATGTATTTGTGTGCTTCTGTGTGGTACACGGATGTGTGTATCCATGTATGTGAATGTGTGCTTCTGTGTGGTACATGGATATATGTATACATGCATGTGAATGTGTGCTTCTGTGTGGTACATGAATGTGTGTATCCATGCATGTATTTGTGTGCTTCTGTGTGGTACACAGATGTGTGTATCCGTGTGTGATTGTGTGCTTTTGTGTGGTACACAGATGTGTGTATCCATGCGTGTGAATGTGTGCTTCTGTGTGGTACACGGATGTGTGTATCCATTGACATACTGACTAAGCCGTCTCCCAGACCCATCTTTAAGCTTCAGTTTTAAGATATTATATCTATTTTTACATGTATACAGAAATTAACAGGACTACACCTTGAGCACCTGCATCTCTGCCACGCGGAATATAATCTGCATTTTATATTGGTTTTATTGCATGCTCACTCACCCATCTCTCAACTGCATTCTGCCTTATTTTTTGATGCATTTCAAAGCATGTTGCAAATACTAGCATGCTTCCTCCCCATAATGCATAATGATTGAAATAAACTATTTGTTGTGACTTTTAAAGTTACATTGACATGGAAATTACATTAAATTACAGAAAAGTGGAGGTTGAGAAAAGTCATGTGCCTTAATAGCCCTTGTAACACTGACATCGCGTGGCTCGGGGAAGATGAAACAGTTACTCGGACAGCTAAACGGCACTTAGGGGAGACACATGAATGATGACCCAAAGCAGTGGGAAGGCATTCTAGGTGGGCAGGGCCCCATGAAACGGGGAAACTGCAGGTAAGGACGGCCTGGCGCTCAGTCCAGAATGACCGACACCCGGATGACGCACAACTGTCGCTAATAACAGACATGTTACTCCTTATAAACAGACTCTTGATATTTCTGTCCTGAGTGACAGATACAAACAAGAATCATCCCAGAATATCTTTACGAAAGGTCCAACAGTTCCTGAAGCGTGCAGGTCTGGGCTAGGACGTAGCTCAGCTGGAGAAGAGCCAGCCTGGCACATTCAGTACATCACCGTAAGCAAGCAGGGTAGCGCAGGCCCGCAAGCCCCAGCACCCTGGAACAGAGAGGAGGACCAAAGGTTCAGGCTCATTCTGGGCTCCGTAGTGACCCTGTCTCAAAGGGAAAGAAAATGCAGATCTTAGGAATCACCAGTAGAGACCCAGAAATAACATTAGTTTGTGTGTGGTAAATCTTTAGGATAGAATAGCTACCATATTTAAAAAATAAACTGTCAGGGAAACACAGCTGCAGTAAGGTGGAGAAAATGGCCCTGGGGATCTGATTTCTCGTTACGGAAACTGGACAGACCAGTGTACAAAACAAAATGTTTGCTGACACAGAGGCTGATGAACTCGGAGAAGAAAAGTAAACAGGACAGACAGAAGGACATACTTGGGACAGGAGCAGCACAGAAGCCGTCATGTCACCTTCTCAGATGGCGCGCCTGAGACCAGACCTGTATGGGTCGATGACGGTGCCACTGACTCTGGACATTTCCTGGTCTACATTCAACATGGGTGGTTGGATGATCACGAGCACATGACTGCTCCTAGGTAGGGCTGGGGTGAAAGGTCACTGTTGATAGGAGAGAGAGCACAGCCAGACTGAACATGGCCGGCAGAAGGGATTCCTTTCATTTCTTCAACCCACGCGATGAGGAACACAGGTTTGCGTGTTGCCAGGCAGAGTCCACACAGTCGAGAGCTTTCCACCGTCCAGGCACTGAGCCCCTTTCATCATAAGCCCCATTTTAAAGACTCCGAACTGAGGTGGGAGACAACCGGGCAGAACAAGGGCCTTGATTCAGATCTAGGGCCAAGCATATGTTTATGAACCAAGGCAGGCAAGCGAAGGGGGAAGCGGGTTCTACAACACTGTTCGTCCACTAAACTAGAAGGTTCAGACAAAATGAAATAAGCTGCTGTTTCTGTCATACATTGCTCAGGATGACACTTAACTGTTTGTTTTCCTTCCCTCCTTCCTTTTCCTCCTTTCTGTGCAGGAACGCTGCACAGCCCAGCAGAAACCTACTCTTCCTGACCTGAGCTTGTCGAAGCTACCCAAACTTTGATTTCAAAGGAAGACTCTCTCTTTCCACCTGCCTGGTGCCTGGGGGCAGCTAGCCGTCAGAATGCGCACGCACACAGTGGCCATCGTGATTCTTCTCTGCTTCTGCAGAGCTGCTGAGCCCCGCAGGACCGGCCCTGGCACTTTGAGAAGCCAGGTCAATCCCAGCCGCAGCGACAGCCGGGCAGGTGGCGGCAGGAGAGGCAGCCCAGTCAAACGCTACGCACCAGGCCTTCCCTGTGATATATACACGTATCTCCATGAGAAATACCTAGACTGCCAAGAAAGAAAGTTAGTTTACGTGTTACCCGACTGGCCTCAAGACTTGCTGCACATGCTGTTAGCGAGAAACAAAATCCGTGTGTTGAAAAACAACGCGTTCTCCAAGTTTAAGAGGCTGAAGAGCCTGGACTTGCAACAGAATGAGATCTCCAAAATTGAGAGCGAGGCGTTCTTTGGCTTGAATAAGCTCACCACCCTCTTGCTGCAGCACAACCAGCTCAAGGTGCTGACAGAGGAGGTGTTCATTTACACCCCGCTCCTGAGCTACCTGCGTCTCTATGACAACCCTTGGCAGTGCACCTGCGAGCTAGACACGCTCGTTGCGATGCTGCAGGTCCCGCGGAACCGGAATCTGGGCAACTACGCCAAGTGTGAAAGCCCACCAGCACTGAAGAATAAAAAGTTGCTGCAGCTGAAGCCTGATGAGTTGTGCATCGAACAGGAGAGTGAGCAGCCGGACCCCAAACCCCAAGTATCAGGGAGACCCCCTGTCATCAGGCCCGAGGCCGACTCCACCCTATGCCACCATTACGTGTTTCCCATACAAACCCTGGACTGCAGGCGGAAAGGTGCGTGCGTGCATGCGTGGGCCTCTCCCTCTCTGGTTTCTGCAGGCTGTTATCTAATCCCGCCCCCTCCCTACATCCCGTGGTGCCCAGAGAGGTCAGGCAGCACTGTCCAACAACAATCAACTCTGTGAAGTCCTAGTCAAGGCAGCTGATAACCAGGGAGTGAAGGTGGTAAGGCGCCTGGCTAGCTCGTGCCAAACCCTGGGTTCGACCCCCAGAGCCACTAACTGGGCGGAGTGGCACACGCCTGTAATCCCGGCCCTTGAGAAGTAAAGACGAGAGGGTGGTACAAAGTTCAAAATCCTCCTTGACTACCCAGTGAATTCGAGGATAGCCCGGGCTCCGTGAGACACGGCTTCAAAACACACACCCCTAAAAAATTCACAAAGCAAAGCATAAGCAAAGGAAAACAAATCCAAGGTCATTCTCAGTTACCTGGGAGGCTGTAGACCAGCCTGGATTTCATGACACCCTGTCTCAAAATCAATCCAAGTCCCAGCACCTATACCAGGTGCTCACGAGTACCCATAATTCTGACTCCAGGGGAGTTCAATGCCTCTGGCACCCATGGGTACCCATCCACATGTGTCATACACACACAGTAAGAAATAAGTAAATAAATATTTCCATAAAGCAAACAACAAGACCAGCCATGAGAACTGATTGTTCTCAGCGCAGCACAGGCCATGAGGAAGCACCGAGGTGTAACCTGCAGAGCGGCTGCAGAGGCTTCTGTGCTTCAGCCGCTTTAGTCCCAAGGTTTTCATGAGCCCTGAGAGAGCCAGGCATCTTACTTCCTCCCAGGCTACGCAGAGTGAACAGAAGTGAGTTGTTTACAGTCCTTAATCTCGGCTGTATGATATCCCCCCAACAATGAGCAAAGTTCTTATTGGGTCTTTTTCCCCATGAAACATCTCTCTTTTTCTCTTGGCAAGCATCAGCTATAAAACATATTTTATTGCTTTCCTTTTCCAACTTATTGTTGCCTAAATATAATCTTCCAAAAATACCCCACAAATTAATCTTCTTTGCTCCAAAACTGCAGTGAACCAATATCAAGTTTCATTACACATAAATTTAGCTCATATAACACTGATCAGAACATTAAGAGACAACCCACGCCCCTCTAACAGTTGTGACTATGTAAAATTCAGAGCCCATATTTTCATTTTGAAGTGTTTAATTTTTATGCAGTAGTAATTCTTTGTGTCTGTGAGAGACAGTGTGATATTTTAATTCGTGACTATGATGCTTGCACCCAATCAGAATGTTACCGTCCATTACTTAGACAGGTATCGCTTGTGCTGCAAACATCGACATCCTCTCCGCTGGCTACTTGAGACGTACTTACGCTACGGTCTAGCGCAGCACAGCAGTTCCTCTCCAACTCCGGGCAGAGCCTCTAACGCTAGACTATAAAGCACAGACTAATTACATCTTTTCATAATTAAGTACAAAAGCCTTTCACTGTGACTTACACAAACCTAACAATCCCATTCCTTGTTTAGTTTTCATTTTTGTCTTATAAGTTCATTCCTATAGGATAAACCTATCACACTCTTTCTTTAAAGCCCAGCACTGGGCAATGGGTGAGAATGTCTGAGCTGCCTTTCTCTGCTGTGTAAAGCAGTAACCTAAGCAACTCTCACAACAGAAGTGCACAGCGGTGGGAACCGTGGCTAGAGTTCAAGTATGACAGCCCTAATCTCGTCTGCTTTCATTGCTTTGTTCGATAAATGATTAACAAATCTCTAATACTAAAGTAACAAAGCTCAGTAATGTTCATCTTTAGGCCCCTGCTGGAGTGCATCCGTGCCCTTGATGAGACTTAGAGCGTGCCATCGAGCAGGGAGCTAGCGGTGACATTAGTGAACGAGAGCCACTCCCTCACTGCCTGTGGTGAAAGACATGGTCACTTAGTCCTCACGGCCCTAAAGCAGTGTGGCCATAATGGACATGATCAATGTCACGTCGTAAACGACAAAGCTGGGTATAGAGAAGCTATCCTCAGAAGGTCACGTGGGCAGTAGGGATCCACCATTCAAGCCATAACCACCATGCAATGCCATCTCTTCCTTCGAGATGGGATGCATTCACTAGACCAAGAATTCACTCATGCCTCCCGATGCTAAAGCCTCCTCCTGAGCTACACAAGAAAACCACAGGGTAAATGAAAGCAGGGAGCCTGGGTGTAGCTCCTCCCTGGGAGGAAATTCAGCCTTCCCAACAGCACAGCAGTGATGCAGATAATCCACGTAGGGTACTAACTCGAGCCAGTTCAACCACATAGACCTCAAAGATCCCTATTTTCTGCCCTAAACATCTGACAGGAAAAAATAGCTTTATTCACTGAGTGACAGGAACTCTGCCAACAAACCCAGCCCTCCAAAGGAAATGTGTGTGGGATTAGTTGGAAGGCACACTGTGCCATATTGGCGTGACTGGATTTGCCAAGAACACCAACTGCGCGCTCTAAACTACTTCTAGCTCTGCATTTACCAAAATAATTTGCCAACTTTACTTTGAGGGCTGGGAAGGTTATAGAGGTAAATGGCCTCCAGGTGCTTCTGATGTTAGGGCCACAATATTGTCCCCTGATTTCAATAATAATGAAGAAACTTAATTCCTAATAAACAAGCTCATGTATGTCTCTTTAACGACTACCAACTCTTCAAATTAGTTCTGAGGTTGCTGACAACCAAAAGTCTACTACATGGGAAAAACAATGTGGAGGAAATTTCTCAGTTTCCTCTTTATGGTGAGGCTCGGTTGAAAGAGCCCATAAGAGCGGACTGTAAATACAAGATCCAGCGAGGTGTCTTACCAAGGACGTGGTCCCAGCCACACTCAGAGGAGTAGGAGAGTCAGTTGTTCAAAGCCTTCCCGGCTCAAGTCACATTGCAAGTTCAAAGCCAGACCCTATCTTAAACCTCCTCCCCTGACTCCAGAACGTTCTGATCAGTGGTAAATATGAAACACGGGTGCCATGTGGTACCCAGTCTAGAAATGAGGACATTGGTGAAGTTTGCTTTGGCATGAGGAAGTGTGTATTCGTCTGTTCTCTATCAAAAGCACACATTTTGCATCAAATTTGTAAATCTCATTCGTGTTCAAGGCAAAAGAAGGAGTTGCTTTTCCTCATCACCACTGCCAATGAGATTTCCCTGTTTGTTTCTAGGTCATGGTAGAAAACTTGCATTTCCTGCTGCTTGGGGATGCTATTTTTATCCAGGAGTTTGCTGACAATCCCAAGCTGATCCTATAATTCATATTCTTTTTCTAATACCCACAAACCCATTGCTTACGCCGGGCTTCAAGGTGTTTTTATCGCCATCTTTTGCCCTCTGATCTGTGGCTAACCCGCTTCAGCTTGTCTTACGGGTCCCTCCGTCATGTATCCTCATATGGTCTGGTCAAGAGGCTTCCTAGAACTGAGGAAGTCCTGGCTCTGGTGACAAGGACCCAGCACGGCCCTAGAGGACACTGTTGCTCTTCCTCCCTCCCCCACATGTGTGTGTTACAGGTGGACAATATACATGAGACAGGAGGCTAGCACCGATAGACAATGGGGCAACAGTGACATAGGTTGAAATTTGACCCTGTAACTATGGGCGAATGACCTAACTTCTCTGTTTCCCCATTTCCAGATCTTCTCATTTAATTAATTTTATTAATAGTACCCAGATCAGGAACACAGATAGAGAGTGAGAGTCCAGCAAAAAGGGGAAAGAATTCCAGGAAGTCAGACTCAATGGGGTGCACTGTAGAATCTAGAATGGGCGTCCACTACCATCCCAGACGGAAACATAGATCAGTCAGAAGTGCCGGGCACAGAAGCATGGGGTCCTGAGTTCAATCCTCACAGCCATAAAAACACTGGGTATGGCTGTACATGCCCAGAATCCTAGCTTTAGGGAATCAGAAACGGCAGACCCCAGGGGCTCACTGTCCCGCAGCCCAGGCTAAGCAGTGACCCCAGGTCCTAGTGAGAGACCCTGTCTCCAAACAGAAACTGTGGACACCTCCTAAGGAAGAACAACTGAGCGTGACTTCTGACCTTCACAGGCATGAGTGTGTACACCCAGAGATTATGAACACACACAAACACACATGCACACAAAAGCCATGCGATCTGGGCCACTGAGAGGAAAGCCAAAACTAGGTCCAAGTCACCGTGACTGTAAATATTCCTGGGGCTAGAAAATCGTAGGTTTAATTAATAGCTCATTGGAAGTCTTCACAATTCAACTATTCTGTACCCAAAAGGGCAGTGTGGATAAGTGAACAACACTGCCTCTCATACATGTGTTTTACAGTTTCTGGTTCTAAGAATTTCTGTTTTCTCAAAAAGCCCTTGGGCCACCCTACTCTGCAGAAATCGGTCAGTCTGGCCGGCTGCTTCTGGTTCTCCTCCGTGAGAGCCAGTCGCTTTCGCTCCATAGGCTACAGCTGCCCTGATGAAAACTAACCCAGGCCTCTTCAGTCTTGCTAAAGGCCAGGAGGAAGGGCAAGGCTCCCCGATAATATAATGTAGGTGTGATTAACCGTTTTTGACAGGCATGAATTAAATATAGAAACACAAATGTAGAGTTAAGGAGAGCTCTGGTCTCCTATTGCTCCTCCTGGCGGCTGCTGGCTCTTCCTGAGCTTCTTTTCTGGTACTGCCGGAGCAGGAAGCTTTGGGGGTGCTGGAGAGAGCTCCATCACAAGGACTTGGGAGTTATGTGGGCAAGAAGGGAGTCGGGTTGGCAAAGCAAGCATGAATTTCAGCTTCTAAGGAAAGCAGACGTAAGGTACAGTGTCTCCTTTCTCTGTATTAGTTTTTCTTTTTTAGATTTCAGTTTACATATGCTCAGCCAGGAACTGAAAATATTAAGTAGAAAATTCTAGAAATAAACCACTTGTAAGGCTTTAGCAATTTATTAACACAAACTTGTAATTGCTCCATTGTCCTCTGTGATATTGTGGCCGATCCCTCGTTGTTCCTACTTCACACAGTAAACGTGGCCACAAGCGTGTGTGCGTGGGGTTTGGTGACACAGTCTTTGGCATCCCCTGGGAGCCTTGGGATGTCTCCCCTGAGTGATAGGGACTGTGGCCACGGCTGGAAAGATCAGGAAGGTCAAGAGTGTGGTGTTTACGAGAGTGGAGCTGAGATCACTTGCTGGCAGAGGACAGTTGAAATGACGGATAGCGTGAAACTCTAACAGGAAGGCAGCAACTGCCAGTGGAGACAGTGATGGCTCCTTAGGACAGAAAGAACGAGGAGGGAACCGCAGCCTCACTGACGGCTCCCCTAGCCCCGACCGAAGGCAAGGAGAGCGCTCGTGTAGCTTACCCTCCAGATGGCAGTCCACTATTAAGGGAGCCTCTGAAGCAGAGACCGCGGAGGAATGCTGCTCACTGGCTTGCTTTCCCTGGCTTGCTCAGTTGGCTTTTTCAGCCACCCAGGACTGCCTGTGCGGAGAGGCACCACCCAGTTTGTTGAGCCCCTTCTACATCAATCATTAATCAAGAGAATGTTCCACAGACACGCTGGTAGACCAACCTTGTGGAAGCATTACCCATGTAAGGCCCGCCTCCCAAGTGACTCTAGTTTGTAGAGGTGACAAAAACTGGCCAGGAGACTCTCTTCTCACTTTCTACTTGGTCTTACTCTGTAGCTCTCTGCTGGCCTGACACTCACTATGTGTCCTACGCGGGTCTCAAATCTGCAGCAATTTTCCTGCCCCCGCCTCCCACACACACTACCAGGCCCAGCCTTTCGAGTGTTTCCTGACGGGCACTCTGGGCCACCAAGATGGAGTCTTTTTGTTCCTCAAATGACTCAGCAGCCTTAGCTGTGACCTGTGAGGACTTCCTCTTCTTCCTTTTCTACCTCCACAGCCAGAGAGTTTCTGGGACCCCTCCCTCGCCTTCTGGTGTCTCCTCCCCCGCCCGCCCCCCCCACCCCGCCAAGCTGGGGTTCAGCTTCACAAGTTTAATATGAAATAGGAGTCAGAAAACTGTAACCTACACACTCTTCATCTTTCCAGAGTTGAAGAAGGTTCCGAGCAACATCCCTCCAGACATCGTCAAACTTGACATGTCATACAACAAAATCAGCCAGCTGCGACCCAAGGAGTTTGAAGATGTTCACGAACTAAAGAAGTTAAACCTGAGCAGCAATAGCATTGAATTCATAGATCCTGGTAAGTCCCAGTGCGTGGCTGCCTTCAAGTGGCCGGCAGCTGCGCTCTGAGTTTTCTTCTGTGGCAACAGCTATAGTAAACACCATTTAGGGTAAACAAACAAAAAAAACTGAGTTCAGAAAATATGAGCTTTAATTAACCATGATACTTCAAATGGGACTTGTTCGGCACTCAGAAGTATGTGCCAAAATATTGCTTTACAAAGCGTGTACTACAATCAGTCATCCCTGGGTGTCTAGGGTCATTGTTCCAAGACTCTTCTTAGACACCAACCCCCCTCTGTAAAATGGCATGGACACTCCCACTTATACTTTAATTATTCACTTACGGACAACACTGAGAACAGCAGAAGAGCTAGATAAGCTATATTGTGTAAGGAATAATCTCAAAGTCTAGTGAGTGCACGGCATATTCAGAACAGATAGAATTTTTCAGCTATTTTTAATCTGTGGTTGGTTGAATCTGCAAACATAGAATCTGACAGATGCATGTCACTGACTACATAGTGCTAACAATATTTACTCCATCAATCCCAGTAACAAAAGCATTGTAGAATAGATATGTACACACAGTGGGGGTGAAGGATTCTCACAGTGCAGCCCAGACTGACCTTAATTTCTTGTTCTCCTGCCCTGGCTCCTCAGGTGCTCCTACTACAGGTGCTGCACACTTCCTACACAGGTGCACACTATCACATCTGGCTCTTCAGATCCTCCTACTACAGGTGCACACTATCACACCTGGCTCCTCAGGTGTTTCTATTACAGGTGCACACTTCCTGCACAGGTGCACACTATCACACCTGGCTCATTGGGTGCTCCTACACAGGTGTACACTTCCTACACAGGTGCACACTATCACACCTGGCTTCTCAGGTGCTCCTATGAATACAATTGTTTCTCCTATGTAAAAAATGAACTAGACCAATTACTTTTGTGTCTGTGTGCACTTGTTCATGAGTGTATTTGTTCATGTGTGGGTATGCATGTGTGTACTTGTTCATGTGTGGGTACACATGTGTGTTCTTGTCCACGTGTGGGTGTGCATGTGTGTACTTGTCCACGTGTGGGTGTGCATGTGTGTACTTGTCCACGTGTGGGTACGCATGTGTGTACTTATCCACGTGTGGGTGTGCATGTATGTACTTGTCCACGTGTAGGTACGCATGTGTGTGTACTTGTCCACGTGTGGGTGTGCATGTGTGTACTTGTCCACGTGTGGGTGTGCATGTGTGTACTTGTCCACGTGTGGGTGTGCATGTGTGTACTTGTCCACGTGTGGGTGTGTATGTGTGTACTTGTCCACGTGTGGGTGTGTATGTGTGTACTTGTCCACGTGTGGGTATGCATGTGTGTACTTGTTCATGCATAGGTATGCATGTGTGCACTTGTTCGTGCATGGGTGTGCATGTGTGTGCTAGTTCATCCGTGGGTATGTATGTGTGTACTTGCTCATACGTGGGTATGTATGTGTGTACTTGCTCATATGTGGGTATGCATGTGTGTGCTTGTTCATGCGTAGGTATGCATGTGTGTACAGAGTTCGACAGCATGTTTTAGTTGCTGAATTGAGCTCACCAATCAGCTACATTGTCTGGCCTGGGAGCCCCAGGGATCCTTTTGTCCCCACCTCCCTAACACTGGATTCTAGATCCACATTAGCCTGCCCAGTCTTTGACAGGGGTTCTGAGGACCCACTCAGGGCCTTCTGCTGGGCGAGGCATCGGCTCAGCCCCTCCGCTTCTCTCAGTAATACCACAGGCACTAGCAGGACACCCAATTCTAACACAATCAAAGTGAAAACCGAAGACACCCTGGCTCCATGAAAGCATATTTCAGAATTAATATCATTTAAATATCACAAAATTATAACAAATTTTTAAAGGAACAACAATTTGCTACACTTGCCTGCACACATACTGCACTCTGAATTGCAAGATTAAGAGCAATTTTATCTTCACAGCAAATAAAAAAGACATTCCTTTCTTACAGTCATTGTGATCATGTTCGTATCAGCCACTGTGTCCAGTCTCTGTAAAGTCAGGCCACAGGTTGAGGAACTCGGGGGTGGAGACCATCTTGTGCCCTGTGAGAACTGCAGGTCCATAGAACAAGTCCACTGTGCCAAGGGTTCCTGAGCAGGAGACTAATTCCTTTCCAACACTGTGTTCAGTGCACTAGTAGACAGTTGTCAGGGTGTAGCTTAGTGGTGGAGCACTTGCTGAACAAGTTCAAGACCCCGGCTTCCATTCCCAGCAACACAGAGACACAAATGCACACATGAACACAATGACCGCAGATGACTCTTAGAGCTTTTGTTAACCCTAAACGCCAGTTATTAGACAGCCTCGGCTGAGCGTGAAGGCAGCTGTGCCCAAACAGTGGCGCAGTCACAACAGCACCATGAAGACCACTCCTTCCCTTCCTCAGTTTGTTTACTCAACACAAGGGACGCATTTTCATTAACACTTTTGTATTGAACTGAGTGCCAAGGACTTCGGTTGTTAAGTCCTTTAGAACAAAAGAAAATGGACCTTAGAACTTGAATAAGACCAAATGAACTACACCAGCTTTAAAGTAAAAGACCGGCTGCGTTTCGGGACCCTTGGGAGGAAGCGCTGCCCAACAGCGTCCTGTGAGCACATGTGTAGAAGACATGGGGACACCAGACGGTAGAAGAGGGGACAGTCTAGTCGAACGCAGGGCGGAGTGGGAAAAGGAAAGAAAACTCCTTACCAGGGATATCACTTCCTTCAAGAAACAAAACCCGCTCTCCCAGGGGCCCTAGATACATACGCTTTAATACCACCTGTAGTTCTTTTGAAATAGAATGTCGGAATATTTGTCTGCAAATGCTTTGAAGCTGGAGCCCTGACTTGTCCCAAAAGAAGGGAGTTTGTGACAGCCTGATGTTAGAATTTTACCAGATGATGCTCAAAACACACAGGCCTGATCTGTCTCCTCGCCCCCACTCCTCAACCCCTGCTGTGTCCAAAACCAGAAAGTAGCTTGTTTGGGGCTGTGTCTGAGAAAAGGTGATTTGAACACAGTTAACGGCACTGGCACAAAGCTTAGTTCTAACTCAGAGTAAGGATTCTATATTCTAGGACAGGCATGTTGAGGGAGTACTGTGAAAATGTCCAGGGCAGAAACAAGGTCTTTGACGTCAGCAATGACCTGTTGGGTCTGGAACATAGGCTCCATCTTTATGTGCTCATTTCTTTGTTCTTGTGAGTTGTGTTATTTTGTTCTGTGTTATTTTCTTCTAATTACTCAGCATCCAGCTAATCAAATACATATGAATTCTGATAGTTCCCACCACTTGCCAAACTCGACCAGATGTTTTAAAAACGTTGGTAGAAATTACTTGGCTTGGTGCTATTCAAGAATAGGCTCTCACCACAAGTGCACTAAACGGGGGAAGATTATTTTCTAGGCGTTGTACAGCTCATCCATCACCTAGGAAGCTGTCATATGTTCCTGTGTTTTCCTGCACAACGGCCTTAAATTTGATACACTTTCCTTATTTATCCAGCACCCCCCTTTCTGCAGCACTCAGTAAGAACAAAAAATGTACCCCAGAAAAAATGCGTTTTTATTGGGACATGCAGAGTACTGGGCAGAAGTCACATGGTGCCAACACCTCCTACAAGCCTTCCCCAATGCCCCATTTAAAGACTAGCTTAAAAGTGACGTTTTCAAATACAATATCACACATCGATCTACGCAATCCAGGAAAGGCTTTGTCTGAATAACGGTGTGTTTTATATTATTGCATTTCTTCACGTGTTCAATAGAGAGACACACTAAGGAAAAACCTCCCAAGGCAGAAATCCTCTGCACAGAACTAGTGAGGAAGAAGGCACTTCCCTTGCTGAGTACATATGACACCAGCATGTGATACAAATCCCAAGCACACAGACTGCAAAGTCAGAAAGTCGTTGTTTTTAATCACATAGTTTACCTGGTAGCTCGGCGTCTATGCAAACGATGCGCACAGGCTTCTCCACAACCAGGTAGTGTGCAGCTAGAAGCAAGGCCACAGCGAGGTTAGTTCCCGTCCTCACTCTAGCCTTGAGATAAAGAGCGCTTCCTCCCTTGCTGGTTCTGTCCAGGTTTCAGGAGTTCCAGACAGTTCACAGACAGGAGAAAACACTTAGATGCACGGGTCCTGGAGAGAAAGCTGTGGCAGGGAACCCTGAGCCTCTTAGCAAATCTGTGTTTGCCCTTACGGCCCGTAAAGCACGTACGGCACGGAAGGCACGCACGGCGCGGCGTGTGCTCACTGGCTAACATTCTCTGCTTCTAGCTGCCTTTTTAGGGCTCACACATCTAGAAGAGCTTGACTTATCAAACAACAGCCTACAGAACTTCGACTATGGGGTGCTGGAAGATCTGTATTTTCTGAAACTCCTGTGGCTCAGAGACAACCCTTGGAGATGCGACTACAGTATCCACTACCTGTACTACTGGCTCAAGCACCACTACAACGTCCATTACAGCGGTCTGGAGTGCAAGACGCCCGAAGAGTACAAAGGCTGGTCTGTGGGGAAATACGTTCGGAGTTACTACGAGGAATGCCCCAAAGACAAGCTGCCGGCGTACCCGGAAGCCTTTGACCAGGACATGGAAGACGACGAATGGGAAAAACTCCACCGAGAGCACACAGCCAAGAAGCACCGCGTGAGAATCACCATCGTGGGCTAGCTGGGGCTAGCGGCACCGGGCTGGGCTGGCGTCAGAAACCATGTTTACATTTTCATCGGCTGTGACTGCTTAGACAGGTTATCCAGCTACAGAGGCTCCCTTTGACTACTTCCTAACTGTTATGACGTTGTGTGATCTTAGTAATATGGGGGAAATCTGCATCCTGCTGCTCCGCCCTCCTGTGGGTAGACTCTAATCGCAGGATCCCACCATGGCCCAGGACAGGTGGTGCAGGCCTGCAACCCCAACACTCAAGCTGAGGCAAGAGGATCATGATGCCAACCTGGGCTACAT